CCCCCCCCCCCCCCCCCCTTGTGGAGGCATGTAGCAAAGGCCCACGTCGAATTACTGTTACCGAAACCAGATGCAATGACAGGATGTCTGCAGTTTCCATCGGAGTTGCTTTCGGCGGTGAGCTACAGGTGGGTGATCCTCGCTGGCACTTAGCTGCACACTTGGACTGTTCGGCTGTGTTCTCTCAACCCTTGACGGTTCAGGGTCTAGGGTTGAAGGGTTCGGGTGTAGGCTTTATGGTTATAGGCCCCCCTAAACCCGAAACGCCAAACCCGCACTAAACCCAAAGCTCTAAACCCCAAACCCTAACCCTAAGCCCTAAACCCTAAACCCTCGATTTCCTTTGGGTTGAAGGTGAAGGCCTGTGAGGCATAGGACTTTATAAAAGAATAGGTTTAGGGGCTATATTACTATGCTATAACTATAGTACTGTAAACAATTAGCCATGTGCTCCTCAAGGTGAGTCGGCCATTGAGATACTAGGTCTTCCAGCGGGCACTTTCTCACTTTTTGTAGTCTTAGGTTCCTTATAATAACTACCATGTACCAAAGAGGGAGACCTTTTTATTCCGAGGTTACTGGGGATCCTCGGATATGATTTTATCTCAGCCCCTGCTGATTCGCTTCTACATGGGCGGACAGGAGGGTTTGGGTTTCATGAAATCTTGGGTGCTCAACCCCAAACCCCATAATCACTGTGGCCTCTAATCACAGACAATGCAGAGTGATTCTGATGATATATTTATGACTAACAACTGTAGAGGTCAAACGGTCTTGCAGCGGGAAGGGTGGAGAACGTCAACACAGCAACAGCACAAGTAGCAGAATTGCTAAGCACGGGATTGAGCTATAGCTTTCAGCAAGAATGGCCTCTATACTGATCACTGCGGCTGAGCAACCAAGATATCATCAAGAGGATGGCATTGATGAGGATAGTCTCCTGAATGAGACAAGGAACAGCCGAACGTGAGTAGCAACACAATGTAGTTATCGGCTTGCCTAGGACCTCAAAGAACGAGCACAATGCAGAACTAACTCTGCACCCTAGAGATCTCAAAACCCTACATAAGTCTTAAGCCTTATCGAAACCCCGGACCAAAAAATCCGAATCCTCAGGTAATCTACGAACCCTTTCGACAAGAGCTATTTGCAGCGGCACGAGGGGCAGGAGCTACGCTGATGCTCGGCAGATGCAGCAGGGGCTTGGGTTTAGGGTATTTTTGGTTTTGGGTTTAGGGTTCAGGGTTTAGGGTTTAGGGCTTTAGTTGGGGGGGGGGGGGGTTAGCTCAAGGGCTTGGGTGAGAGATGTGTTGCTCTGGTCTGCCTAGGACTGTGGTGCCAGTTAAAGGTCCTACAGGTCCTTTGTTGGGATCTTCCGTACGAGAACATGGGCCACGTTTGAAGGTTCAGGATGTGGTGGTTAGGGTTGATTGAGAGCAAACACCGCATTGGTGGCACGTTATTGTGCTGTTGATCGTTATCGTGTTTTGTCGGGCTTTCCAGTAGAATGGTGTGTATGGAAGGCCTTGAATCCCCCCCCCCCCTCCCCATTTGCTGTAAAATCCAAAAATCCCTAGCCTCAGTTCAAGGAAACCTGAAAGCTCTCCCCGAAGCCCCTAAACGCACAAACCTCCCAAACCGCTGAGGTCCCAAACCTACAAGTTTTCAGCCGAGGTCTGTGCTTTTGCCTTTCTGACCCTACTCATAGGGTTTAGGGTGTAGGGTTAGTCTTCCCCAAACCTCGATCGACAAGTAAAGGCTGCTTCATTTAAAAGCCCAGGAAGCTTCATCTGGGTGGTTGTCAAATTATGGTCCGGTTTTTGGGCCCTTATTATAATACGGCACCTATTATTTAGGGTACCCAAAAAGGGACCATAATTTTGACAACTACCCATCCACAGCCGCACATGATGGGAACCCTGTGCCAAGCCTGATAAAACCTACGAGATCTTATGAAAAACCCTGCGAACTCTTAGTTAAACCTCTTCTAAGAACCCCATAAGCCGTTGAAAACCTTGCAAACACCCTAGGAAGCCCTAGCAAGACGCTACGAAGCCCTCATTCTAATTTCTTAAGGCTCAAAACTGAAGCCTTCCCGAAGCCATAAATCCCTTATACTCTGCAGTAAATCCTAAACTAAACCCTAGACCCTAAAC